TGTAAAACTCCATTGCTACATCACCTTTTCTGGCAATACACAGCCAACGAATCATCATTTCATAAGCTACAACATCCGGCTTACACCCACATTTCCTCATCTTGTCAAGAACCAACAAAGCTTTGCCTATCATTTTCAATCTCCCATACACTGAGATGAGAATTGTCCATGTTTTCATATCCTTTTGACACGAGTTCTCCTCCATTTCCTCAACCAACTTTTCCATCAGCCCAACATCCTTTGCTTCTCCTGCTATGTACATCATGGTATTGTAAGTCTGAGTTGTATGACAAAACCCATCTCTTAGCTTCACCCAATTGAAGAACCTGAGAGCCAAATGGGGAACCTTAAAGCATCTTTTCAATACTTTCTCTACAATCTCTGGTTCAAACTGCAAACCCGCATTCTCTAACCGCTCCTCCATTGAAACCACACAGTTCTCTGCTCGAACAATCTGCGTAATTCCATGAACAATCGGACTAACATCAAAATCAGCTAAAACTCCCGACTGTAAATCTTCCTCCCCGTGCGGCAATCCCAGCTCGGCAATTCCACAAATACCTGGTGTGCACGACTCAAATTCCTTGCTCTGCCGACCATTTCCTACGTGGGTTTCTTGGGATGTTGAGATTCCAGATGGAGTATGATCCAGATTTACGACATCAGTACCTAAAATCTCAGTGATTTCCTTGAAGATTGAAGCAAAACTGCTTGTTTCTGGTTGGTTTTTCCGTGGGGTTTTGTGAGAATTCTTAGACTGAGAAAGCTCGAATGATCTTGAAAGACTTGAAAGATGAAGAACCCGGAATGTTGAGGGATGAGAATAGCTTGAACTGGAACAAAAATGGAGGAATCGAATTAAATGCCTCATTACCAATGTTATTAAGAAAACATGTCTAACATCTCTTTCTCAGAAACCCTCCCTCCAAAAAGCAAGTGTCCCTGAGATTTAAAATAGATAATTACTAAATTATTGAATTAAATAATTAAATTAAATTCCCTTAATTATTAATTATTAAATAATATTAAATTAAATCCTACTAATTGATAATTTAGTAGATAATTTAAAATAAATAAATAATACAAAGTTTCAGTCTCACGACGTCGTACTTCGAAACTGGAAACTCATGAGTGGACCGTCACAGCCTCTAGAGTGCTACGCGGGTAAGACGAGAATCTCCCAGAAAACGTAGCGCCCCCACAATCGACGAAACCGCCAGGCCCCGCCTTTGTTATCCGACTTGCGAAAATAGAAGGAACCAGAATCTCACCATCGCTTACGCGTAGTTGCTGGTGACTGTAGAGAGGATGGGTTGGGTATGGAGAGACGAGCCAGAGGACGCGGAGGATTCACTCGCCGGTGATGCTCTTGATCGATCCTCTGGTGACCGCTGCTCCACCAGGAAGATCGTCAGGTCGCAGTGCAAGACCGAGGAGGTTGAGCCCGGAAGATTCGTTAGGAAGTGTGAGAAAACTGAAGAGATTCTCAGAGACTGTATTGGAAAGTATGCCTATCTCTCCATTTACGGATTTCAAACCTCCACCTTTCCTTCTTTGCCTTCTGTGTGTGTGTTGCTACCTCTGTTTGGTTGACAAGAAAATAAATGGAATTTGGATTAAATATATTTTTCTCTTGTTTGTGTATATGGAATTTGTGTGTTTTGGGGTGTCTGGGGTTGTTTGAGCTGAAAGTTCTGGATTTCTAAATGATACGGAATTGAGGATTATGTTGCTAGATACGAGAGATTTTCCTTTTTTAGTTGAATCAGGGGTTCTTTGTTTATTTTCTTATCAAGATTTTATTAACAAGGGACATATTATTTGAGAGATTGAGACTGTGACATTAGTCATTGCAATCATTCAGGACTAGTTTGGATCAATTCCCATTCTATTATCTGCCAATCTTTACTAGACTTTTATTAGTCATATATATAGAATTCAAATATGATCAGAGTCACTTACGCTCATATTTTAATTCATATCTGTTTAATTCTTACATTGAAAAGAATTAGAAATTCTATTCAGATATTCAAAGTAGGAGCAGAGATGGGTCAAACGTGAAAACTATGGTGTATGAGGAAATTTATAACTATTCTAAGTCTAGGTATAAGAATTAACTGGAAATGGAATATGCTATTGAACCAAATAGGGCTTATGGGTAACCTGGAGTTTTCATAGGAGAAAGTGTGGAATGGTTTTTTCGAGGTTATTGGGGATTTAATTATGTCCATTTTTTCACAGTTATCTGTTTGTAAGACAATAATTGTATTGTTACATCTTTTGTATGACGTAGAATGATGTGGCAAGTTTTGTTAAATATTTTAAGCTAGTGATATGTACTTCCTTAACTGCCATCTTCATTTCCTGTTATCTGTGGGAGCGGCACCGATTGGTTGTTATTTTATTTCTCATACTCGAGACCATACTGAACCCTCAGCTGTTGCTACAGTCTTTTTGAGATGGCTATGATAAGAGAAATTATATTTGGGAAATGTATAGTATTGTAATTCTGATATTAGTTAAGGTCAGTTGCTTTAGCAGATTGATTCTCATTAATGAGCTATAGCACAACTGGCCAAAGTGGATAGGGTCATTCCCGACTTCTGGGGAATAAGCACCTGACTTCCTCCAAGCCATTCTGGTGAGGAGTTGCCAGGTTTTACTTCACGTTATCCTGTGATTGTTGAATGTTCTTCTTTTGCTGGGGAAAGCTTTCTCGGGTTTACTAGGAAAGACAGAATTGGGATAACATTTTTTGTGTTTGTAGGACTCAAGTAAAGAATATATTTTTGGATTGAATCTGAGTATAGAAGTCTTGGATTGAGCTATATTGCCCTAGAAATAAGACGAAGCATGTTTTTTATGTGATAAAAATGCTACAATGTGAAAACAAATTGTTGTTGTTACTTATATGTACTGTCAAGATATATCTGGAGGGGCAGTGTTTAAAGCAGAAATGTCTGCTTGAAACTGAGGTATGGTGCCGCCATAAGGGAAATGTTAGATTTCAGTGTCTGGGATCCAGTTATTTGTCTGTTTAAACTAAAATCAGAGAATGAATAACCAGAAAGCTTCTTGTTTTTCTGTCCTTTTTAAACTGTTTGATTGAAAGCCTAGGCTTATTGGAGAGAAATAAAGATCTCCAACTCCAAGAGTTCTAACTACTGAAGCAGCTTTCTGAATCTGAATAATTGCCCTACAACTTGAGGAGAAATAACTGCTATCTAGGATCATAACTACCACAGAAGGATAGTAGATCCATATTAGAACTTCAAACATAAAAAACTGTCTAGTGACAAACACTAACCCAAACTGAGACAGTTGCTCGGCCTTAGTCTTGGGCAGATCTCACACTTCAATCAACCCCTTCGATCCAATCAATCGATCGATCAAGAGGCTAATCTCTTTTGTTTAGGCCGCTAACTATAAGAAAGTCCTCACTTTCTCTTGAACAAGGGAAGGGCAGCATAGCATTTACTTCAATTGAACAAGCTCAACCTTGAGGTGGTAGGCCGACATTGAATGCTTCAACTTGGCCACTGAAGAAGGCGAAGGCTGGGCGAGAGACTATGCCAACTTACTGCTTACTGCCATGCCATGGTTTAAGCTTTTTTCTCCATAGACGGAACTATGTATTAGAGAGGGGAGACACCACTCAGCACCTAAGGTGGGGTTCAATGCCTAACAAAAAATAAAGAAAAAAAGAGATGTATGGCGGAGGGGAGGAGAGAAAGAAGGCATGCATGGAGATTCTGTCTGTCGGAGGTTCGAGAATCTATGAAAGGACATCTAAGACTAAGAAAGAATGAAAAGAAGTCCATTACTGAGAGAAGTGGTGATCTCGTCTTGCTTGCTGGGAGAAAGGAAGCTTCCGGACCACCTTTTCCAGCGAAATAGCGAGCGATGACTCAGCAATGAACACTAACTGAAAGCGGCCGGGAATGAGTAACTATCTCTTACGGGAATCGAACCCGTGTCTTCGACATGAAAAGACGATGTCCTAACCACTGGACGAAAGGGACTAATTCAAATAAAACATGAAATTAAACATTTAGCTAATTGACCGATCCTGTTCTTCTTCTTTCCATGAGTGAATCTACTGTAAACTTGGTCACTAAACAGATTGACTGACTGTTAAATAACATTAGTAATAGGAAATAGTTGGAATCTATTAATTACATATTTTAAAAAAAAATTAAATGGCTAGGTTGCTTTTTTATCTTAATCCTAGGTTGAGAAAAAGGTACCGTTTTTTTAGTAGGATCCATGTTTAAACGGGTTTGGCTTTTTGTGAGAGCTGTAGACATACATTACTGTTGAGTTAATTCGAAAGTATATGATGCCCTTAGTATGGTGCAATAGTGATGTTATCTTCTTTCCATCCTTTCATTAGCACATAACCGTCCTATCATAAATGTTTCAGCATCTGAAGTTATGGAAAAATTATTTTATGTGTTTACATTTCTTTGAATGTTTGATATTTCATTTGGATATTTTCTGAATGGGGTGTTATTAACATGTCATCTAAATATTTCCTTTTTGGGGCTAAACCTTTCTGTTTTTTCTTTTAGCCTGTTGAGGTTCTGCAATCAAACAGAGAGTATACTGAAGATGATGTCACAGATATGGTGGTCAATGGTTCTTCTCCCTTTGGGAGGTCCAGAGACAGGCCATTTGATTTCCCTGGGCTACGGAATGATATTGAAGCAATTGAGCGCCACTTTTCTGGTGCCTAAAAAATTTCTTCGATGCAGCTGAGAGATGAGATAGCATTTTTGGTATCTTTGCTGACTG